GAATGTTTTTATTCATCTTAGCCAAAACAAAAGAAAGAATTCAAAAAATTAAATATGACTTGAAATAATCTCCTCAGAGAAGCACCAGCTTCTCGTTCAGAGCAATCTGTGCTTGAGTCAGGTTAGACAGGTAGGTCACCATCAACAGGTCCTGCAAACAAATTATTTACAGCTTTGTATCACAACCATGAAGGATTTTACCTCATTATGATGTCATACGTCCAATGTAAACAATCAATTTTAATATTTTTAGACGAGCGCTTACGTTGATGTTGGAGTTGAGCATGTTCTCAAAGTCCTCGGCTGTGATGGTCGGCACTTTGTTGACCAGATCCATGAGGAAGCGACCCACGCTGTTATCAGCCGTCACCTTTCCAGACTGGGACACACACACACACACACACACACACACACACACACACACATTATGATCAGGGTTTAAATCTATCCTAGAGACCGGATCAGAACCAGGCTTTCCTGCTCACCAACACATCTTCGATGTACGCCAGCACAGTGGTCAGCATGTCCTGTATCCTGGACGCAGCGCTCCCCACCTGTGACAGGTCAGAGGTCAGCCCCTTGGTGCGGCTGGGAGTCACACGAGTTCTCTGCAGAAGATCCACTGCAACATGGAGATAGAGTCAAAATGTTTACACACAGGAGTGTTGAAATTCATTTGAATTTGCTCATTTCTTGATTTTAAAGGAGCAGTGTTAAATGTTTTCCAGGTATTTTGTAGCACAATCAAGTGTGTTAACTTCAGTTGTGTAAAAATGCTGTATATATCAAATAAGGCTTGAAAGAAATGACTTTGTAATTTAACGTCTTGAAATTGAATGGTTGCCATGGAGATGCAAGGTTTTCTCAAACATGCATGAAGGAGTCAAGGCAACACTCCAGGTGTGTTTTTGATGAGGGAATAATATAATAACATGATGTAAAAAAAATAAAAAAAGTAGATTTTGTATCATTTTACATAATTCTAACCCTGACTAATCCAAATCCAACACGTGACCCTTGACAAAAACCTTTTTGTGAAGAATTACCCCTGCCTTTGAGTCGGTAGAATGAACTGTCATGGAGTCTAAGTTTTGAACATGTTTTTTTGTTGAACTGAAACTGAAAGGTCTAACTAAATTTTTCTTTTTGCAGATTTGTTTATTTTGCTTAACCAATCATTTGTATTTATTTGTTTTGCTTTTGATTTAAATACAATCCTTTTTTCCCCCTTTAAAACTTTTCTTTATGGTCAAAAGCCTCCTGTGTGGCATTAGGCTCCTACCAGAAGCTAGACTTTGAAATAAAACTGTCCAACCAAACTAAGAAGCCCAATAAAGTGCTTACCGCCTATCCTCTCAGTGTCATAGTAGATGTATTTGACACTCAAGGGGGTGAACATAACACCAACCGTCTTTCCTGGCACACCCATCTGGGCACTGAAGAAGACACACAAACACATCCAGGAGGTCACCATCAGCCTGGAGCTGCACACAAACACACACACTTGCACAAATAGAGCAGCTCACCTGACGTAGGCGCGAATGTTCATTTTGCCGCTCTGCAGCGCCGTGTCCACAGTCAGGTGGATGGGGTTGGTGGCTTCGCGGCTGTAGTACTCGTGGATGAGCACGGAGTGCTCAGTGATATCAAAGCCTGTGGCATACCTGAGGAGAGAAGGCAATATGCTGGAACCTTTTCCACTATGATTTGGACCTATTGTGCTTCCTTGAACAGGTTATGACGGGTCTCTGGGCTAAACAGAACATGTCCTTTACATTTTTGTTTTGCACAAAATCATCCTTAGAAAACAAGATTTTAGTCTGGTCAGTTTTGCCTATTTTGAGATATTTTAGGCTCTTTTTTCATTTAAAATCCAAATAAGCTGCTGGCCACGCAACCCAAATTACGTTTACTTGCACATTAAAATGGTTGCAAACAGATACACAATTATTCAACCTTTCATCCTTGAAAAGCATTATTAGAGCCTACTGCACAAGAAACAAGAATGCAGAAAGTGGTTTCTGGATGCTAAGTCAACAACAAAACACTTGTCTTTTCCAGCAGCCATTGTACAGCGCAAACAGCAATAAAGCCAGTTGACCAAACATGCTGGAGCTTCATTGGGGTTGCTAGATGAGAGGCAGTTCCAGCTGATTTGCATTACATTCAGAATGTTTTTGAAATGGCTCATTTTCCAGACACCAAAAAACATTAACTTATTGACAAAAATCGGTTAGGTAGAAGTACAAAAATGAGCAAAATATGAATACGTCTCCGTTAAAGCAAACTGACTCACCATCCGATGATGACTTCTGTGGGAGACACCCTCTTGTGAAGTTCATACATGTTCTTGGCAAACTCCATGTCCACAGCAACCTGCAGGCATCCACAGAAGTTTACAAAAGCACTAATATTACATGCCGTTATTTATTTTACTTTATTTATATAGGTCAGCCCTTTGTGAGTGATCTGAGCTCAGGCTGAACGTCTGGACTTTCCAACACTCACTCCAGGCTCCAGATCAAACAGCAGAACAGGCTCCTGCTGTTTGATGTGAAGATAAAAGTGTGCTGCAGCTCTGCTGGTTTCAGAAACAGAAAACAGTTTGAGAAGCTTTCAGAGCTCGCAGGAGGGAAAAGTTACTCTGCACATGCACAGAAAAATAGGGCAGGTTTTTAACCTTTCTTGTGGAAATAACAAATGTCAATCTAAAACACATAAAACATAAACCATTGACTTTTATTCAAAACAGAGAAGCAACTATTAAACCTATTGCAGAAAAAAAATAATAAATACCAGTTACTGCAGTTATCACAACCTGTGGGACTTTATTAGCTGTACAGTTGATTTTTATCTGTTCACTGATTTTTCCGTGAAACTTGACTTCAAATTAATTATTCATGCAAAATTTGTCTATATTTGGATTTTTTTTCAAAGAGTATATCTAAAATATCCAGGAACAAAATCCAGCTTGGGACGCTGAAATATTTAGGTATAATGCTACCTGACACATTGTCGGCTGGCGTTCATAAAGGAGAAAACGCATGAGCGCCTTTTATCTTCCTATTTAGAGCTGAGTTAGCTGGATCTCCTGTAGTTTGTAAGTGTTGTGACTCTGTGCCAGTTTGCTCTGTAACAAGATATAAACCCAGCTGATATTAGCTGATTAATTAGTCAGGCTGTCTGCTCCGGCCGCCAACATGTAGTCAGCTTCTGGTGTATTAAAACCAGGATTACATCTAATCAGCTAGAATGTTAGGTGGCACTCCTTTAGCATCCACACCTGTGTTTATCAAACAGAAAAACTGGTCTCTCTTTTAAGCAAGGTTAAAGTGCATATCCTTTCCTTTATATCAGCCAGCTGACCAGCAGTACACAGTTTTAAAACAGCAGCTGGGAGGCTGGAAGCAACTAATATGTCCTTGTTATCCTTTAATTACATTATAAATAAAGAGCCGAATGATCATTCGGTTCAATTGCTTTTAGATTTATCAGGTGTTCATTCTAAATTTTCGCTTAAAATGCTATGCTTGAAAATCAAAACACAAAATTTATGTTGAATTTTTTTAAATAATTTTAAATGAGAAATGAGGTTGTTCCGCGTATTCATATGAATAGCACAATAGTGCTCTTTATAATACGAGTGTTAATGCATATAAACAGAAGATCACTTCCGTTTCTCTCATTGTTTATTCAGGTTCGATGTCACAAGCGGAGTGATAGCAGCTTACCTCATCCTCAGACTCGTTGTGAGGGACGGAGAAGCAGTTGGTCACTTCTATAGAGTGTTTATCAATGGTACCTGAAAGAGGCGGACGTTAAAAACAAATACATACAGACTTTTTAACAAGAATACGACTCCACTGATGCTCCAGATGTGTTTGCATTAGGCTGCACTGAGCGAGCATGTGTTAGCAGCTGAGCTAATGCTACACACGGCTTTTCCGTCCATTATATCCCGGTGTCACCCCAAAAGAAAGAGGACGTTTAACCCAGGACTTAACTTACCCAAAATGGTTCCGATGACCCGGCTCGCCCCCTCATTCCTTCGCTCGTAAGAGTCGCAGATTGAGGCGAGAACGACGGGATGGATTTTCACCACTGGCCCGAACACCGACATCTTGAAGAAAAAGGCTCTACCAACGCCTGCAGTGAGCTGATATGCTGCCGCCTACAGGCTGGCGGCCAAACTGTTAGCGATGTGCCGTTCGCGGCTGAGCCACGTCGACGGGTCGGTTCCTTTCACTGAACGAGGGGAGCCAACACAGTACTATTCACGGTCACTTGATCTTATTTGGAAAGTTGCACGTTTAAAGATAATAAGATAATACTTTATTTTATTTTACAGTAATATTTTATTTTATTTTATTTTATAATGCCCAGAAGAAGGGAAACAGGAAATCTGAGCGACTACCGTAGTTATACAGTTCTTTGGCAGTAAATACTCAGCAAGTTCTCCACCAGTTTGTCCGACAGCTCTCTCAGTCCAGAAGAAGATCCAGAGGATCAGAGTGAATCTGGATTGAGACAGAGACAGTGTTTCAGGGTCCCAGAGATCCTAGGAGCTGTCAGAGGCCTCATGCCTCTTCTTGGGTCTGGTCTGCCATAGCAAATGGCTCCTTGTGAGGGATCGGACCAAGAGCAGCCCAGAGACCGACTAGAACTAGAGGTATAGACAAAGTTCCTGCTTAGAACTAGAGATATAGACAGAAGTCAGGGTTTCCACAAGTGTTTTTATCAGGCAGGCGGGTTAACAGGCTTTATTTGCCTTCCCACCAGGCTCTGTGCTAGTTATTTTAAATTGATATTTTTGTCCACCAGTAAAGACGGATTAAGCTAGAGGTTTATAATTGAGGCACTGAACTGGCTGTGAGGCTTTATGAACCAGTTATTTCACACGCTGTTATTTCTGAATATATCTGATCGTTCATCTGTGACATTTTGTAACTTGACATTTGTTAACCCTAACTCCCAGCAGGCTGCTGATGGATGACCTTAGTGACTCCAACCACCGGTTCAGCAGGTTTTCTGGAGGAAACTCTGCAGGGTTTCTGGATGATGTTTCCTGATCCAGCTCCCCAATCTTGACTTGAAATTTGCTGTAGGTACTTTGCTGTTGTTTGATATTTACAACTGAGTTTTTGAAACGTGACAATTTCATTTTGAGTCGTTAAAAGGATTGACCTGAAAACTTCACCTGTCTTGTTGTTGCCTTCCTGTCCTGTTGTCTTTCAACACAAGACAAACTCGTGGCCCTGGGCTACTGCCCTAATAAACTCTTTCTGTCAGCAGTGAACAGTCATATTTTATCCTCAGATTTGGTTCTCAGGATAATTTTCAGTTGGAGAAAATAACTGCACCTCTGGTTGACCTGTTGCAATAATTAATAAATCAATTGATTGAATGATAAATTAAAACAAACTACATTTTTATTTGCATGATTTATCGTTTCTCTCTTTCCACCAAAAACTGGATGATAGTCTTCAGTCTGTTGCTTTGGTCTCAAATAAACCTTTTTTTTTAAAAAAAGGAGATTTTTCTTTGCTGTTTGTTTTATTTATAGTTTCTGTTTTTTGAAATTTCAAATGTCTTCCAGTTCCAATGTTAAATGTTCATTAAAATGTAAAGGTTATTGATCTTTGAGAATGTGTTCTCAAAGGTCAATAATCTTTAATAATAATTATGCTATTGCCATTATATTAGTTGAAAATCATAGTAAAACTATATTTATCGAAATGACTTTTGGAACAATTTATCATCCAACAAAACTTGATATGAAAGTTGAGTTTGTATTGGGAAGCTCTGAGCGTGTTCAGAGGCTACTAACCCCAAAAGTCATATTTTTCAACAACCTTCAAATTTTTTTAAAATCATTTTTTGACGGACTGACAGCTGGAAATTGTATGAAGTGAAGATCCATTTTGGAGCCGAAAGAACTGAGCCAAATAATTCGGATCTCAGAACAGAGGCGGGATTCCCATCAGTGACGCAAAAAGCAGATATTGAATTTCAAGCTAACTTCATTAAATTCAATAATATCTGTTCCAATATGGCCTTAATTAATGCTGTTTATAAAAGATTAATGTAAGGGTGTAAAAAAACACGATTTAAAAAGACTTCCAACATCAACTCAGACCAAATTATAGAATAATAATAGATATAAAAATGCATAAATTAAAAAAAAGACATTTCATAAAGGCGGCTGTTTTTATTTTAATTTATTGTCTTTTTTCCCGTGAACTCTGCAGATGCTGAGTCTAGCAGCCAGCAGGAGGAGGAAGAGGAGGCGGCGGACCGTCCCCCTGTGTTGTGGTAAGGAGACTGAGGCAGGGTTGACAGGGGCTGGACTGATGACAGCATCCTCCTCCGCTCTGAGGCTCCAACACCTGACCGCCTCCATCAGAGCCGCACAGATCATGGAGCTGCCGGGTTATCCCGACGCCACCATTTCACAAAATGCTCCGCAGACGCATCCGCGTAAATATTCAACTTCAGCTGCTTAATCTGGTCTGTTCTCCCCCCCAACTTGATCATTCACTGGCCTGTAGCTTTCGGATTTTCATTTAGTGCGTGACCGAGTCGAGTCGAGGTGCTTCTTGTTTTCCTGAAGAGAAAAAAAACAAAAGCTGACTGATCCTGCCTCGCTATTACAACCAAGGATCAGACATGGGTGCAATCGAATCACCAACGCCGGCCGGATTATGGAGCAGATTTTCCTTTTCCTCATGATACAACAGTCAGCTCGATCTAGGTGAGAAGTTGCGACGCTTAGCAGGTAGTATGTTGGATGTTTGTGACATTAATCCGAAACCTTTTGGTTTCTGAGTCAGAGGGACTCTGGAGCAGAGGCTATTTCTGACCCATCCATCAGCAGGATAGTGCGTCATCTTGACTGCCACTCTCCGTCTCGCTCTCTCTCTCCGTATCTCTCTCCCTCTTTCTCCTGCGACCAGTTACCTAAATGGAGGCTCAGCATCCAGGTCTGCTGGAAAAGGACCTGGACTCCATTTTCTCGTGCAAATATTTTAGGGAACAGCATGCCTCGCTGTGCAGATTTCTCTCCTCTTTGGGACTTATGTAAGAAATCTCAGCAGGCATACGGAAGAAATAAACCACATTTAAAATAGCGCTATAAGTGCACTTGCACAATATACTCACACAGGCACGCAAGGACCACACACAGACACACACACAGCCCAAGGCGGGTTTTTTTCGCGCGCGCGCGCGCGTGCGTGCGTGCGTGCGTGCGTGTGTGTGTGTGTGTGTGTGTGTGTGTGTGTGTGTGTGTGTGTAACTGACTTAATTAAAGAGCCTCCAGTGTGAATATGCACAGCTGCGCTCCTGGATCAGGTCGTCTCTCCAAACAGGGAACAGAATATCCTAAACATCTGTATAATATCATCTCACTTCCTGTTTTAGCTTCAGCTTCTTGTTTTTCAAAGGTGTTGAATTATAAAATCATGTCTTGAACATTTTCACATTTTGTTGTAGGACTAAACTCTTTGTATAACTGCAAGATATTCATGTTTAAATTTGTGTTTGTTCAGGTTTTATGTATATATATTCCATATTTCTGTCTTTGTGTGAATTCACTTGCTTTGCCATTTTTCTCAGTCTTTGAGAAGTTTGACTTGAGTCTCAGAATATTTTACCTTAATCTCAGTATTTTAACATTTTTCAGTATTCTGACTTTTTTTCTGTTTTCAAGAAATTTGACAACTTCTGAGAAATGTTACTTTAATCTCATAATTCTGACTTAAATATCAGAGTTATACCTTAATAACAGAATTCAGACTATTCTTACTCCCCCCCCCAGAATTCTCAGAAATTTCACTTTAATCTCAGAATTTCTGATAAATTTGACTCTCTTACTTTAATCTTAGTACTTTGACATTTTTCCTCAGAATCTTGGAGAAATTTGACTTTAATCTCTGAATCTCGTATTCTCAGTTTTCTAACTTTTTTCTCAGTATTTGGACCTTTTTTCAGAATTTTCAAGAAAATTGACAATAATCTCAGAATTCAAACTTTAATTTAATAATCTCACTGTTTCCCCCAAAATTGTAATTTTGACCTCAGAATGTTTTCTTTTTACAGAATTCTGAGAAATGTTACTTTAATCTCATAATTTTGACTTTAATATCAGAATGTCAGACATTAATTTTAGGATTCTGAGTTTTATTTACAGAATTCTGAGAAATTAGATTTTAATCTCAATATTCTGATTTTTTTCGGAACCCTGACAAAAAGAAAATCAGGCTGCATTAGAGTGGCCCAGTCAAAGTCTAGAAATAGATCTGGTTGATAATATGGGCAAGACATGAAAACGGACATTCCTCTTCATCTCATCAGATCTTGAGCTGCAAAGCAGGAAGACACTCATCCTACAAAACACTTGCAGCTGCTAAATACAAATGCAAACCAAACTTTTCAGATTTTTAAGTTCCCCATTTTCCTTTTACATCCCAATTATGTGCTTCCATATAAAACCAAAATAACCCACGTTACAGTTTGTGGTTGTAATGTGACAAAATGCGATTAATCGTAACTGATATGCCTTTTACTAAACACCTTCAAGGCAGCAAAGTGTGTTTATAGGAGCTTGATAGATGTTGATGTGAAAAACAAGAAATAAAATCCTGATGTTTAGCAAGAGCAGTGAATCAATCATTTGGTCATCGTGATCTCTTCCTTCATTCCAGGCTTCAGTCAAGCAAACAAATGATCCAATCAAT